ATGCTTTGAAACCAATATCAGAAAATTTTGACTTCATGCAGATGGAAGCAATATATTAAACAAAGCATACAAAAATTTAGAAAAGAATAAATGCAACATTGACCAGACAGAAAACAAGACGATGATATACGAATAAAGCAAACCAGAATACGATGAAACATGAATGCAATTTGAAGCCACCTTTTAGTAGGACGGGATTTTAGTTGTGATTCTTTTTCAAGCCCAATTTTATCATTCAAGCCCAACTTCAAATCAGGCATTCCAGAAAGGAAGCACTTCATAAGAATCTTTCCCGTAACATCACAACGCAGAACACTGCCTGCAATCACCAAATGGTTTATGATCAACCAAAAGGTATCAACAAACAAAAACACTTTCAAAACCAGTACCAACCTTTTGAAGACATAAGTAGGTTTACACTTTCCACGATGTCCAGAAACACCTAAAACAAACAAATGTTAAAACCAGCGGAATTGCCACATTCAATAAAGAAAGGAAGTTGACAGAACTCAGAAGCTAGATCACCTCATTCTTTTTATAAACAAGTCCCTCTCTTCGCCAGCCAACAGCACCTGTAACTTGTAATGTTGCATTTGGAACAGGCCTATCTGAGGGCTATTGATTTATTGCACACAGCAAATGAAAATGATTAATGAGAATGCAACTTTATAGAAATTTAAAGCACAAATTAGACCTAGATCTTCCATACAAGTATCATCCACATGCATCAATCCTGAAAATGCAATAACCGGTACAACATAAAATACAACTTACCTTGGATGAAAATGGGGATCGCACTCCTTCTTGAGTAATGTAAAGCTTTAAAATTTCAGGAGAAAGATTTTGTGGATAGCCAAAGTCCATGATTTCTGCAATGTCAATGCAGAAATCAAACGTTTAATCATTCAATCAAACAACAATTTGAACCCACGGTTAAATGATTTTCTTCACCCTTCCTTTCTGTAGAATAAATGTCTGGTATAGAAGTTAGCATGCAACCTAAAAGAGACAAACTATATTTACTTATTTAACTGTCAGTTAATTGACCAATTGAGTCTGCAAGTAATATTCATATGTTTCAGCTGCTACCACTAATTATGCCAATCTAAGCTCCCTAGCACAGTCCATAAACCATGAGTCAAGAATCAGAGGTAGTGAATACACATTATAGGAATGCAATAGAATATCATGCATCAAGCCAAAAGAAGAGTGTCTGAATACAGTAGAAACCAAGCAAGAGAATGCATGAGGAAGGAGGTACATTCAACAGTCCTTAAATCACATACCATCCAACAATTCATAAATCAGAACAAAATTATTACGAATAGCATCCTCATCAAAAGCACCACCGAAATAGGATTTGAACAATGCAACAGCCTGCAAAAGAAGCAACAACGACAGTGTTACTGTCAACTACCATAGAAAAAAAACACAAATTGCACATTTTTCCAGAGGAATATGAGGTAAATCTTTTCTATATAAACACAAAGAGCAAGATATCTTTGACTACCTCGACAACAAACTTGAAAGCGCAAGCTACATTAGCATTGCTGCTGACAACAATTACAATGTAGACATTGCTGATTCTCATGTAGAAGAAAGAGCAACCTCCAATCTGTCGCACGGGACATGTACCGAGTTCTTTCGTTTGCATTATGTGCATTCGGAAGGCATCCACCATATTTCCCCTAAATGGAAAATTATACGAATCAAACGCACACAACAACAATACCAAAAGAAACTAAAGAATTGTCATAAAACTCACTGAAACCTCGCCGTTTCACAGAAAAAGAAAATTAGCTATTAGGAGAAACCTAGATGCATTCACGCCAAACTCATAAAAGTTAATTCTATTTATCAAAGTAATAGCTCGAATTGAAGGAAAAAAGAGAGAGAGAGTTACCCGACATCGTCGCGGTAAAGACGATTGATGAGGACATCGCCCCGGAGATTCAAGAAGTAGATGGCAGAAGCGGCCACCGGCATCTTCGATCCAGTGGATCGCGTCCCACGTCAAATGAAGTAAAATCTATTGAGAAATGATTGGATCGGCCGTGGCTGAAACCGGTGAAGCACCTGGATCTGGTGAAGCACCTGGCGTTCGCTTTCGATTTCGGTTTGGGTTTGGTGATCAAAACATCGGTAACCAAGAGAATTGAAGAGAAGATGGAAAATTGTTTCAGAAAAAGAATTTTGCAAAGTTTGCTGTTGGAGAGTTTTAATGGTCAAGGGACATTTCCGTCTTTTTATTTTTATCTTTTGAAATATGGCCATCTTTTCAGAATATTAAATACTACATGTACAATAATGTAATATTTTTAAAGGTTAAATTAAATTGAAATTAATTATATTTGGTTAATTCGATTTAAGTTTTTTTATTTTGATTGATTTATTTGGTCATGATTGATTTATTTAATTATTTTAATATCTAAAATTTACAGTAAAATTGATTATTAATAATATACCTTTAAATATATTTTTCTTTATAAATATTATTGACATTTTTAAAATATAAAAATTATTAAAGTGTTTTATATATTAAGTATAAATACTACTAATATTTTTAAAATATAAAATAAAGTGACTGAATTGACAAATACTCATCTTTAAATATATTTTTACAATTACTAACATTTAACCATTCATTTAATTGCTTTTAATGAGATTAAATTGTCAAAATAGAGAGATGTGATTCATTTGATTGAAGTAAAATTTCTTTTTGAAACTTAATTATAGGAAAGGAAAGTTAAAATAAAAAAAGTACCTAAGTGGTTTTTTCTTTTTATGGAAGGAAATATATTTTATTCTTATCAAGACAGATTATCGTAAACCTCATATTACAGATAAGCTATTAGAAAATAATCAAAGGAGAATATCGTAGGTATTGAACAAAATTGTGAATACCACATCGATTAGGTATTAAAATGATGCTGGGTGTCTAAAAGATCACACCACCTTTACTTGTGAGATTTTTTTGTGAAATAAAATCGTAAGATCAACAAGTTAAGAAATGATATGAATTGTGACAATTGCTATCATAGCAAATTCTAAGCATACTAGCAATGAAGTGTGCCATTGAGGACACTGACCCTTAATGAAGTGAGGAATTGGAAGCTCTCTAATAACATGGTGAATGAAGTAAGGGATAATGTAATGGTCTTAGTATAGAACCATATGAATCTCACTTTACATTGAAGAGAAGTTGAATCTCTTAGAAGGAAGCAAATAAAATATGGGAAAAGCCATGGTCTTAACGTAAAACCATGTGAACCTGACTTTACATTAAAAGAGAAATGGAAGCTCTTATAATGGAGCAAACAACACCTTACATTAAAGAAAAGTGAAAGCTCTTTGAAGAGAGTAAATGAAGTGGGAAAGAATATCACGGTTTTACTGTGAAACTATATGAATCTCACATTGAAAAGAATGAAGTGGGAGAGAATTTTACAATTCTAGTAAAAAACCATGTGAATCCCATATGGAAGAGAATTAGACAACACCTTGAGAAATGGAAGCTTTTAGAGGGGAGCGAGCATCACTTTATAAGAAATGGTATGGATAACACCACTTATTCATTTAAATGTCAAAAATTTCTACTTGTTAAAGTAGATTTATGAAAAAATAATTTATATATTAATACTTAAATATTACATAAAAAGATAATTTTGTTAATAATTTAAATATTAATATTTTTAATTATTATTATTATTTTAATTATAACATTACTTAAAAAATTTCTAAGTCTGCCATTGTTCCTTCCTATATTTATATAAGCACTAGTCATATAATGACAATTGAAATTTTTACTTATTTTTTATTTTTATTTTTTCCATTTTAAAAAATTATAAAATTTGTATTTGATATAATAAATTTATCACTTCATTAATAAATAAATTTAAAATATATAACATCTAAAATAAATATTTATAATCTAAAATGTATTAACTTTGAATGATTTTAAATTTTTACTTTTACATATTCTACGAGATGATATTTTATAATGAAATTATAATGTATAAAATATTATACATTAACAACGCATTAAACATAAATTCAAAGTTTATAATTGAATATATAATTTATAACAATCCGTAAAAGGAAAAAAAATCATTTATAAACAAGATGAATGGCTTATTTTTATACTTTGCTTATTTTATTTATTGGCTTAAATATCAAATGTTACTATATAAAATAAAATTATCACTTTTTTTTTACCAAACAAAATATCACTTTATAAAGCTAAGAAAGAATTAGAGAGAGTAGTATCATTTCAAAATTATAATCTCTATTTAATTGTTGTTTACTATTACTTTATTGAGTTAAAATTTTTATGACATAATATATAAAAAAGACCTTAAACTATTTAAAAAGATTTAAGCAAACCTTTATATTTTTATTATGTTTAATCAGGTTCTTTTATTTTTATTTTGAGTCAAATAAATTATTACAATTAATGATTAACTAAGTTAAATTGTCATTTTTTATTTTATATCACATAACATTAACGTGATATACTAAAATATCATAATTGATGATAATGTGACATATCGATATATCATAATAGATAATGACTTGACATACTAATTTAACATGATAATATCATTATGTGATTTTTTTATCTTCTATATTAATGTCTTGCTACTACTATGTGAATATAAAATAACAAGTGATATTTTAATTAATGATAATAAATCAATTATTAGTTATAAAAATTTATTTGATTTAAAATAAAAATATATTAATTTAATTAAATATAATAAAAAATTTATTTAAATATTTTTAAATAATTTAAATTTTTATTTGAGAATTATGTCACTTTTTATCTACCATTGATTGTTTGTTTATTAAAAAAATTTTATTACTTCATTAAGCTACAAATGTGAAATTTATGGTGTTGTTAAATCACGTTTCTCCGCTTGTATTCTTTGCATTTCTCTTCTTCTCGGATGCTTGAGCTTCCTTTTCACTATAAGGAAAACCGAAA